TTTTGGTACCTTGAACTAATAAGTTTTGAAGCCTTTGTTGAAGGGCTGTGTGCGTGTGCGTGAGAGAGAGAGAGATTGAGATTGTGATTGTTTGGTCATGTTTTCAGCGCTCTAGCAGGCAATTTATAACTGTGCCGTAGCCTTCACTTCTTGCCTAAGTATCAAGGTCGGCCAGAGGTCAAAGCTTAGGGCCTCCTCGGGTCTTTCCTGAGAATGCACAAAGCTCGGACACACACAAGAACTCCTAGGCTCCCAGGAGTATGTTCAATTTGTCAAAGCCCTCGTGGACATTTCCTTCCCCACTTTTTCCTTTTAAGTTTCTCCTTAGCCCCCTGTTGCCGCAGGCAGCTGCAGCGTTAACCTATTACCATTGATTGGCTACAGCAGGTAGGGCTGTTTGCAGAGTCAGCCTGCCTTGGGTCAGGTCGGCCGGGGATGGAGAGTTTCAGTGAGCTGCAGACGGGCCCAGCAGTGGCAGTTTCCTTGGGCTGAAGATTTGGGGGAGCTCCAAATCCATTCTGCTTCCTCCAGGGGCCGCTGGTTTTCACAGGTACTGTAGTTATGTTGGTTTTCAAAGCTGCCACAGAGACAGGGAGAGGGGATGGGATTGGGGCATGTTAAAATGCACTGGCTTTTCTTACAGAGACTCAGCTGTTTTCCTTGATGAAACACTCCTTGGCTTGTTGCAGGCCTTTAGTTTCCAAAGTTCTAAAAAAAAGTTTAGTTTGACTTTGTTCTCATTGCTTTTATGGAGAAGCGGGTTTTTGGCAGCCTTTGTTGTTCCCTTATGGAAGTAGAAATCCTTTATATACTAAAACCATACATTTAAACTGACACTTTGGATTCAACCTGATACAACCGGGTTCTTTTTGTAGCCTTCCCATTCCGGATATGCAAACGTCTTTCTTCAACAGTGAGACACTCAGTTCTTATTATCTACAGTGTACGTATGTGTTGGATTTTGATATAAAGTGGTTCCAGAATTGCTAACCCACGTCCCTGTGAGAAATATTTATTTCATTTACTTTTAAAAAGATGGCTGGTTGCTGTGTTGAGAGCAAACTGTGGAGGGCAGGACCAAATCGTCAGAGCAGTTCGGTGGTTCCCCAGATTGTTCAGGTTGGATGATGGTGGCCTGCGCCAGAGCGGTGGTGGTTTGGACTTTGAGGCATGGTCAGATTTGAGACATATTTTGAAAGTTGCAACCATAGTATTATACTAATGGATTGGATGCATGATGTGAGATAAATAGAATAAAGGGTGATGCCATGATTTTGTCTGAGCAATTGGAAGAAGGGAGTTGCCATTAATTGAGAGCCTATCAGAGGTGCAGGTTTTGAGGGAAAGATTGGTTTTGGTCATTTTAAGTTTCAAATGTCTATTATTCAAGTGCACTAGATGTCCAGTGGGCAGCTTAATGAGTTAGGAGCTTAGAAGAGATCTGGACTAGAGACTTATCTGAGGAGTAGCATCTACATGATTATTGAAGTTGCCATCAGGGTCATACTTCTAAGAGTTTCCAGTGTGCTCCATCCCACCTGTATCTTCTGCTATGTGTCTCTCTGTCAAAAGGCATTTTCTTTTTTCTTTTTTTTTAACTGTAAAAGGCAGCTCTGCTGGTGTCCGTGGCAAGCCAACAGCTAGCTTGCCCGGAAAAGCCCTGTTAGTGCCTCTCGGGAGTGGGTATTTACATACACACCCAGCTCTCGTGCCCCTCGGGTGGGATAATTCTGAAACACATATTCTGCCAAATTTCCCAGTCTCCCTGTGGGATTAAGCCCCAGTTACCTGCTAGGGACGTTGGTTTAAAGACACAGTCTTCATTGGCTGTCTTCACTGTATAATTCCCACAGGCTCCTGCTGTTTACTTTTGCTGGAATCATTGTTTTAGGTTCTGCTTCTGGGAGAACCCAAACTAAGAAAATAACTTTAAGGCCATGAGACTGGATGAGATCAACAAACAAGGGGAGGCAGAGAGGAAGGGGGTGCAGATTCAGGCTGAGCACAGAAGCACCACAACCCCAAAGGGTGAGGGGAGTGGGGACCAGCGGAGGAAACTGCATGCGCAGGGAGAGGGCTGGGGCTGTCGGGAAAGTCTGAGGACAGAAGACGACAAGGCTGCTGAGGGTCTATGCAGACGGTGATGCTCTGATGGACCGTGGAATTTCCAGATGTACCCGGGAGAGAGGCACAGGAACGGGAACCCCCAGAGAAGCGGTGGAATGAATGGGCAGGTTCCTGTGGGCTCAAAGAATTGCTGGGGGGAGGCCGCAGGAGTGAACTGGAAAGTGTCAGGTGCAGGAGACGCTTCCAGTCGAGCCTGTGGAGGCTGCAGGTACTGTTATTACAAGGACTGGACTTGGGAGTAAGACTGTGGAGTGTCTCTCTCTGGGGGAAACAAGAAGCCGAGAGGCCGGGGGTTTGTATTGGAGGGTGACAGTGACCTGGGCGAGGACACCGGCAGGGAATAAGGGAGGGGGCATCCCAGGCTGGGGACTAAGGGTAACTGCATAAGAAAGAATAAGCTGGAGGTGGCAGCTTTTCTTGAACGCTCGGTGCTTGCTCTGCGCTGGGCATGCTAAGCAGCAGCGAAAAGCGAGAAGGGCGCCCAGCCCCTGCTCGCCCCCAGGTGCCAGGGGAGCGGGGAGAGCGAGCAGCCGCTGGCGGGGCTGCAGGGGAAGCGGAGCCGGGAACCCGGGCTCCAGCTTGGGAGGCCTGTTTCCCTTTGTTCCACGGCCCGTGTTGGTCCTGAGTTGCCACTTTTGGTCATTCCTGTTGCAATGGCTAGAGCTTTCAAAAACGTGTTGATAGGAGGCAAGTGGTTTTATTTAATGGGAATGCTTCATCTTTTGCTGAGTTTAATTTTGATTTGATGACATTAAGAAAATGTTCTCTCATTCTTTGCAATGTTACGAGTTTGCTAAAGCTAGGAGATCGTCAGTTTTATCCAATAATGTCCAGTGTTAGGTGTCTGTCAGAAATTTTCCCCTTGGGCTTTATGTTGATGATTTAGGAACAGGCTTCTCATTTTCTGAAGTAGTCTTGTACTCTTGGGATAAAAACACCTTGGTTGATTATGTGTATTTCAGTATGACCAGAATTGGTTTGCTCTTAATTTATGAATTCCTGGATCTGTGCTCAGAGCGAGAAGTGGTCTATTTTTTCTCATGGTACCTTTGTCAAGGTCATGCTAGTTTGGTAAATATGGGTAATTTTAGTGTTTCAAAGCTCACTGGGATGACTGAACATGGTCATGAGAAGGGGCCTTGGATGGGAGGCAGGTGGCTGGAGTGGTGGCTTTGCCACTTGGCCCTTTCATCCAGGGACTGGGTGAGGGTCTAGACCAGCCTTTTCAACCAGGGTTCATGGGAACCACAGAACACAGAAAGGAATTTGAGTACAGTGGTGCCCTGGTTTTCAAACATCTCCGTTGACGAACATTGCGGATGCCGTAAACCCCGAAGGAAATGCTTCGGTTTTCGAACACGCCTCGGAAGTTGAACATGCCACACGGCTTCTGCCGAGGGCAAGATCCTGAGGCCCAGCTGGCGGCTGCTGAGTCCTGAGCACCCGCACAACTCGGAGGTGATAGTTGGGCTTCTTTGGTGACTGTGTGCGATCAGTCTGTGCTCATATCAGCTCAGGGGTGCTCTTGCAACCAATTTGTTTTTGTGACTGTGTGCAATCAATCTGTGTTCATGTCATCTCAGGAGCCCTCTGCCAGTCACCCGTTGCTGTGAGAAATGGATAAAAGCTGCAAAGCCAAGGGAATCATCAACAGAACAACAACAGAGGTGAAGAAGGAAATTATTTCCAAACCTGAAAGTGGTGTCCGTGTATGTCACCTGGCAACGCAGTTTGGTATGGNACCTGGCAACACAGTTTGGTATGGCCAACTCTACAATTTGTACCATCTTAAAAAATAAAAAGCCATTAAAGGAGCCAACGTTGCAAGAGGTGTTAAAACACAAGACAAAGAACACAGACGATTGAAGAAGTGGAGAAATTGCTTTTCATATGGATAAATGAAAAACGGCCGGTGACAGCATTTCTGGGAGCATGGTTTGTGAAAAAGCTGTACATTTGCATGCTGACCTCATCAAAAACACCCCTGGAACAAGTGCTGAGAGAGATTTTCAAGGCAAGTAGAGGGTGGTTTGAAAAGTTTAAGGGAAGTGGCACACGCAGTACGGTGAGACATGGTGAAGCTGCCAGTGCCAACAAAGACGCCGCCGACCCATTTGTCTTGGAATTTAAAGATTATGTAGAGGCAGAGAGTTTCCTTCCCCAACAAGTTTTCAACTGTGACGAGACAGGCCTCTTTTGGAAGAAAATGCCAAAGGGGACCTACATTAACAAAGGAGGAGAGATCATTGCCAGGACACAAGCCCATGAAAGACAGGCTAACTCTTTTAATATTTTTTTTGTGGGAATGCAAGTGGGGATTTTAAGTTGACGCCTTTGCTAGTCTACCATTCTGAGAACCCCAGGTATTTAAGAAAAACAATGTCATAAAAAGCAAACNCTTTGCTAGTCTACCATTCTGAGAACCCCAGGGTATTTAAGAAAAACAATATCATAAAAAGCAAATTGCATGGGATGTGGAGGGCAAACAGCTTGGGTAACCAGGCAATTTTTTATTGAGTGGGTTCATGAAATGTTCGGGCCAAGTGTAAAAAAATGCGTACCTCCAAGACAAAAATCTTCCAGTGAAGTGCCTGCTTGTTATGGATAAGGCTCCAGCTCACGCTCCAGGCTTGGAGGACGAGTTGATGGGACAGTTCAGTTTTACCGATGTAAAGTTTTTGCCCCGCAACACGACTCCACTCATCCAGCCCATGGACCAGCAGGTCATATCTAACTTTGAGAAGCTTTACACCAAAGCACTGTTCCGAAGGTGCTTTGAGGTGACCTCGGACACAGCTAACCCTCCGAGAGTCCTGGGAGAATCATTCCAATATCCTACATTGCTGGCGTCTCATAGACAAAGCACGGAGGGATGTGTCTCACAGAACAACGAAGTCAGCACGGGAGAAACGGCCAGAAGCTGTCCCCGCGCGTGTATTTGAGGGCGCTGAAGAGGATGCTCCTGTTGCTGAGGATACTGTGTCCCTGGGACAGTCCACGGGCTTGGAAGCGAGTAGCGATGACGGGGAGGGGCTCGAGGGCCACAGGACTGAACCCGCCGCAGACCTTCCAGACGTTCTGACGGAGCAGCAACAGGCAACTGAGGAACTGTCTTCGGAGGAGGGAAGAGAAAGTGTTTCTATTGCACTTATCAAAGAAATGTGTGCGAAATGGGTTGAACTGCAAATTTTTGTTGAAAAACATCACCCTGATGAAGCTGCTGCAAGTCATGCCCCTGACACTGTCAGTGATAATGCTGTGTCTCACTTTAGACAAATTTCAAAACATCAGAAAAAGCAAATGTCAATTGAAAAGTTTTTAGTGAGGCAAAGATCCAGTGAGTCTGAACCAGGTGTCAGTGGCGTAAAGAAATCAAGGGCAGGAATGGCAGGAGAGGAGCCACCTACAGTGATTCTGGAAGAGGCCACAGAACACCTGAGGAAAGGTCAGCTATTGTGACTATTGAAGGGACCCCCATCCAAACCATGACTATCATCATTGCAGGTAAGAAAGAATTACATTTTCATTTTTATCATCTACAGTACTGTTTTTACATCCTGTTAATTTATTATTGCTTTTACAGTACAGTATATTGTGTTTATTGCTTTCACTGTGTATCATTTTATGGATCTGTGGTATCACTAGATAGTAAAATTCATGTTAAATTGCTGCTTTAGGGGTTGACTTTAAAGGTCTGGGACAGATTAATCCATTACTTTCTATGGGAAACTACGCCTCGGTTTTCGAACATTTCAGAACTTGAACGGTCTTCCAGAATGGATTACATTAAAAAACCGAGGTACCACTGTAATTCTTTTTTCAATTCTCCTAAGGATAGTACATAACTAGTATAATTTTATTTGCATAGAAATTGGTTACATACAGTGGAGACTATATTAATTTCCTATCGCTGCTGTAACAAATTACTGCAAACCCAGCAGCTTTAAACAATACAAATGTATTCTCTTACAGTTCTGGAAGTCAGGAGTCCCAAGTCAGTTTTACTGGGCTAAGAGTCAGGGTGCCACAAGGGCTGTTCCTTCAGGAGGCTGACGGGAAAATTGGTTTCTCTGACATCTTTAGCTTCTAGCGGTCAGTTGTATTCCCTGGCATGTCACCACTGCCTTCTCTTCTGCAGATCGGCCTCTGCCTCCTTCTCACGAGGATACTGGTGATTACACTTGGGGTTTGCCAGGGGAGTCCCCCCGCCTGAAGGTCCTTAGCTTTAAGCACATCTGCAAAGCCCCTTTTGCTATATAATATTTACAGGTTTCATGGACTAAGACCTGGGATTTTCGGAGGCCATTCCTCAGCCTACCACAGGTACGTTAGGACCTCCGAGCTTTTTTTTTATACTGAATTTGTTGGGGTGACATTGGTTAATAAAATTATATAGGCTTCAAGCGTACAGTTCTATAACACATCATCTGCATATATTTTGTGTTCACCACCCCAAGTCTAATCTCCTTCTGTCACCATTTATGCCCCTTTAAGGATCTTAGAGCTTAATTCTCTTCTAGACCCTGGCTGAGAACGGCTGTCTAGACCATATCCTCATTAGGAGTGCAGATGACACAAACCTGCCGCATGACTGCCAGGCTCTGAATGATCAACACCCAATAGTCTAACTCAAAAGTGTGTAGCACTCCGTATGCAATACTTGTGCGAGGCTTCAAGAAGCCAGCTGGCAATCCCAAGGAAATTTGTGATTGGGCTTTTATTAGAAATGACATCTGGAGTGAAATGAGACCGGCTCTTCCACGTCTGGCTGGAGCCCACTGGGAGCAGGTCCAGATGTTGTGAGCCTTGCTTGCCTTCCACCCTGCCATGCACCCCTGGAGAGCCATCGGGGTTGATGTCGAGGCTGAGATGATACACAGTGTAGACCTACAAGAGTTAGATTTCGTGATGGCAGATGAGGCCCCAAGTGAAAGGAGGCCTTGCTCTTGGTCAGAGTCTTCCAAAGGTGGGTGTGCACAGGGGGGAACTTCCTCTCTACAGAGCCCTGAGTCTGGATAACAGCCTACAGGGATATGTGGGGAGGGAAGATGGTGGATATTGAACTAGAAGACTATTTAAGGTTCCCGTGAAACTCTGAAGCCCCATTCACTTCTTAAAATTTTAGTTGGGGAAACTGAGGCCCAGACAGGGAGGTCACTTGGCTGGATTTATAGTTAAGAGTGTAGCATACATTAAAATCTCATAATTTATGGTCATCCTCAGATATTAATACTGAGAACTCAGGTTTTTAAAAAGATTTTTTAAAATTGATTTTGAGTCCAGCTGGGCGTGGCTCAGTGGTTGAGCATCGACCTAGGATCTAGCGACAGGGGTTCGATTTCTGGTCAGGGCACATGCCCGGGTTGCGGGCTCGATCCCCAGTTGGGGGTGTGCAGGAGGCAGCCGATCAATGACTCTCTCATCACTGATGTTCCTATCTCTCTCTCCCCCTCTCCCTTCCTCTCTCTGAAATCAATAAAGATATATTTTTTTTAAAAATTGATTTTGAGGGGGGAGAGAGAGAAACATCGATGTGAGAGCAAGACATCGATCAGCTGCCTCCTGCATGCCTCCCACCAGGAGCCCACAACCCAGGCACGTGCCCCAGCTGGGAACTGAACAAGCAACACTTCAGTGCAGGGGACAACATCCCACCAACTTGGCCACACCAGCCAGAGGGATAACTCAGTTTTTTAAAACCACATCCAAGGAAATAAATTTAGTGGTAACATTTAACACTGATTTTTAAAAAATGCCAAAACCATAAATCTTGAAGGCAAGAACCTACTTCTCAACAGTGCTTTGAGAACTGAAGGGTTGTAGCTTCAGGCCCAGGGAATCACACACTAATGCTGGGAAGGGAGGAGAAGCTGAGCCGGACTGTGCTGCTGCGGAGCCCTGCAGGCCTGTCAGGCTGCCCAGAGGGGGGTGAAGTTCAGGAATCAGTCCAAATTTCATGTGAAACTATTTTAATCATTTTAGAACTTCTCATTCAAAATCCTAGACACAAAGCTCCTTTTAAAGAATATATTTGCTTACTGACTCCGCTGAGACCAGAAATCAGCAGTTGCCTGAGGATCTGTGTTTCTAAGGCAGTTACATCTTGAGTCTTTTTAATGAACATAAGATCCCAGGGAGCTAACGTTGCATTTCACAATCTCTGAGCACTGATCCATGTTCTTCTTAATCCTGTAGAACTTCTCCATGTACTCAGAACGCCCCAGGAGCTCCACAAAATCTTCATCATGAGTGATTATCAGAAGCTGGAAGTTACGTTGCTGTGAGCGACTTTTTATTATCCTGAAACAATATATTCAGAACATTTTGTTTAACATTAAAGGGCATAAATAACCCTTTCCTTTATTTGAAAAAGCTACTGAGAACTTTGTCTAACACATGATAACAGGGCTTTTCCTGTGCCTGAGTGGCAGAGCCTCTGACAGCCCTGCAGGAAGTGGGGGAGGGGTGGGGTGGACCGGGCCTCCAGCCCCCCATTAGGAGCCCATCTCCTCTTCAGGCGGTAGGGGTGCGGGGCTTGACTCTTCACGTAGGTCTGGCTTGCAGAACGGGAAGAATACGTGATCTAGTTTCTTCCAGAAAAGCAAAGTTCCACTAGAGCAGGCGGAAATGTTCTACCGGGTTTCCCTCAATATCTGCGCTGCTCAGCTTTAGGAGTTGGACTTACTCCTTTCCTGGGGTTTTCTTGACCTGTGACTAGTCTTCTCTGGAAGAAAATACTTTTCTTCTTTTTGAGAAGACTACAGGCAAGGGGAATAACACATGCGAGCCCACTGCCTTCTTATGAGCTGTGTCTACTCAGAATTCTGCCACCACCAGGCCCTAGATGCATCATGAGCATGACACACAGGCCTGAGTGGGTGGACCGAGATAACTTGTGCTCATGATCTATAGGCTGAGGTAACCAGCTCCGAGGCTGAGACCTGAGAGGCTTTTCTTTCAGTCAACCACATATACCCCTTGTCTGGAGCTGGATGCACTTAGGTTTCAAAAGCACTAGCTCTTACTTGCTGGTAACACAGGACTACTGGGAGGTGGCTGGAGAAAGGTGGCTCTGTGGCTGCTCAGTGCTCCCTCTGGCCCAATCCCAGCCATCAGCCAGAACATTATGTCTGCCAGGAAGACACCTGGCGCCAGGAGTACCTGAAACAGCGCTCGCCTTGGGAAATGCCTTTCCCCTGCAGCACAGTCCTCGAGCAAGGGCGCCCATGCTGCAGCCTCCCCCACAGGTGGATGTGCTGCAAGGTGTGTGCAACTTTACCCTTTCTGGAGTCTATTCAACCATGAATACACCTTTCGAGTAAGAACTGTCATTCCTCATAGATGTCTGACGCATGTGGAAAGCTGAGGAGATAGTCCCAAACCACTGCGATCACCTAGAATGTTTTAGCAAGTCATGGTAACTTGTGTACATGACGCTGGGCCCCTGGTGGGTTTACAGGAAAGTCAAACCAAACCAGAAAACTCACCGCAGTTTCCCTATGAATACACTCAGGGAGGTGCAGGATGTGTCTGCTGCTGCTGGTCACCATCTAGTCCTTTTTAAAAAATCTGAGAAATTACTATCAAAAAGTAAAGCCAACCAGCTTCTCCATGGAAGACACATCTAGAGAGGGGTTTCACCACCGAACTCTCTCAATCTTAGTTTAAAAACTATCATAACCTGTCCCCAAATTTGAGAAACTTACTCAACCAGAGCATGTGCAAGAGATTCAATGTTTTCTCGGTCAAGATTTGTTGTAGGCTCATCCAAGGCAAGGATGCCACAGTTCAAGCAGAATGTTTCAGCCAGGGCCAGGCGAATGATGAGTGAGGCTAAAACCTGGAAAAAAGCGCCAGAGCTGAGCTGTGCTGCACAGACCTTTTCTCATTCCCGGTAGGAAAGTGCGCAGACCTGGCTAGATCTCTTTGGTGGGAAAGGTCACAGGGCCACAGACCTTAGGTAAATCACTGCTCTTTTGTTCCGGAGAGCCTGGCACTATGACCCAGACCCATGTTCTTCCAGAAGGTGAACCATCAAGTGCATTATCTCAGCTTATTATTTGCAATAAAATAAAATGCTAAAAGCAACGCTGATCCCCGCCCCCTTCTCTAGTAAAATCAGCTATAACAAAACTCAAAATCCCAGGTGTGAATCAGAAATGCATTGCCATTTACTTGTAACTAATAATTTTAATAATGGTATAAGATTAACTACCTTAAAAATTCACAACCTATTTTATTTTCCTGATAATGAGGTTTGTCAGGATCTTGGACACATTACATTTTCCAGGGTCTCAGAGACCTTTTATCTCTTAGAGTCTTTCTATGCTCTGTGGTCCAAAAGAGGCACCTAACCTACACCATGCTCTAAACCACACATATATGTTTGTGTATATAATTTTGAGATGGAAAGAGAGAATGAATTATTGGGCCAAAGTATCAGGAGTAGAGAAGTATGGTGTTATTTAAACTTACCAGCAGGAAACCTAAGCAACCAAAATGGAGGCACTTTCGTGGTTAATAGAAGCCTAATAGTAAACCCCTCAGGCCCAGCTGAAACCACCTGAGGGTACAAGGCACACAGAATTAAGAGTGAGGGATGTTCTAGGAAGTCTAAAGTACCTTTGTGTGAGCTATAAACTCCCTCTCCCCCTGAATTTGTGAGTGAAGGAGAATCAGTGAGTTAGTGATTTTAGAGCAGTGATGCCTAGGGCAGGCTGGCCAATTGTAGGAGCCAGGGCACAGCTTGGACCTTGGCACTTCTATATTGAATGCTACCGGTGCCACCTCCACCACCACCTACTCAAGGCGGAGTCTAACTGAGGTCCTGGCCCACCTCTACCAAACCATCTGTCTGTCTTCTCCCCCAACACCAAGCAAGCAATTACTGCTAATTAATTTTTATAATTTAGAGGAGCTATAGGAAATCTACTTATGTTCAGAAAATATTTTTTGAAAGTATTTTTAATACAAAGAGACATGTTTCAAACTATGTTTTCCCATTCATAATTACCACTAAAAATCACCAAAGCAAGTAGGGGATACTGATTATAGATCACAAATTTGTCATTTTTTGCAGACTATGATTACGATAATAATCTGCAGATGCCTCGAATTGGTATAGCTGTCTAGGCTGACAACAAAATACATACATGCATCGAGTATCTTTAGGTCAAAATTGAAAACTATGAAAATAGCTTGGTTAACATGAGCATCATTTTCTAGAATTTTAAAAATTTGTTAAGAAAATCAAGGGTCCAGAGATGTTATCATCTTCCACTTCCAATCTGAAAGGAGGAAGCTCAAGAATCTGTGGCATCTTGGGCGCAAACCTGTGCACAGGGAAAGGACCCAGCCTTGCTCCCAGGATGCAGGTCCCACTTTTCTGTTAGATGTCTCTCCTCTTCCTGATTTGCTCTGTGCTCCACACCCAGAGCCTCATGTAGAGGTGCCCTGCAAGCAGCTGAGTCTGTGTGTGTGTGGTGGTCTGCAGGCCCCAAGGCTAGGCTGGGTGGTGTTGGGGAACTCAGTCATTTAATGGGGCTGCTTTCTCAATGAGATGCTCATATATTGTAACGGCTCATCTGGCTCAACCTAGGATATCTGGTTTGCTAATAATGCATGACCGACTCTAAAACACACCTCCTCCTACCCCCCGACTTCTCTGAAATCAGGATGCATCTTATAATTACAATTGACTTTCTTCTTTCTTAGCGCACATAAAATAGTGGTGTGTCTTACAGTAACCTTATTCTCATAAGGAATGCTATAGAACAATGAGTGGTCTTCAGCTCCTTATTTTATATTTAGCCTATCCTATGAGAAAGTCTTAGGCCCTTCTCCTAAAGGCCTAATTTAGGTAAAGCTGCAGGAAATGCCGGTTAGAGGTGGGGGAGTGTAATGAGGGGAGTGATCCCGACCTTGCACGTGGCAGCCAGGAGAGCTGTAAAGAGCCTCCCACCACTCCTGGGCGGCGTGGCTGCTTCCACAGCACTGACATTGCTGCTCTCTGTCAATTCTTAGTAAAGGTGGCTCCCTAGGTCCTTAAGATACCTGCCTTCTGTCCAGCACTGCATCGTCCTCGCATATCCAAGGCCGTGTCTCCCTTCAGCATCACCACTCGGTAGTTGTAATTCCGCCGTTTATCAGAAGCTGATACGTTTTCATCAGCATCAGACCGAATTTCTATATATTCAATATCTGACACAGAAGGAAGAAGATTCAGTGGAACCTACACTCTGTAGCCTTTTGTCATTCGCCAACATTGTCAAATAAGCCCAGAAACATCTTGTGAGGCTGACATCATAGGGGAAAACCCTGGCTCATTTGGAAACTTCTCTGGCTGAGAGGATTCACGAGGATTCCTGGCTAGAAGCAATCCAGATACCCCAACCCTCAGTCTCAGCGCTGCCTTTCTTAGTTCTATTGAGTTTCCTCCTGATGGTTTTCTCATCACATTTTGGCTTATCCCTATTGACACTCAACAGAGCCTATTATGTCATCAGCTAAATATAATGTGCATTGTAGCCAAATATGTGAGGTCTGTCAGGCTCTGGAATAGAAACCTTTGCATATCTTCTTGCTACAGGATGTTGCCAAAATAAGAATTCTTAGAACACATCAGAGATGTTCAGTAAGGCGTCCAGGAAGTAATACGGCCCAATAAGAAGTTGCACGGGTGAGAGCTGCGACAGGGCTTTGGAAAGAGCACGCGTGACACATGTCGGTTACCTTGTCCACGATAGGTGCTCCGCCAGAGGTCACGGATGATTTTATTGATTTCTTCCATTTTCATACTGTGAAATTTCATTATTGCTCTACAAAAAAAGCCATTGGTAGGTACTTTAACAGAATAATACTACGATCATATATTATTATATGTAATAGTAATATATTAAAATGTGAACTATATAATAATGTATGTAATAATAATGTAAATAACATCGTAACATTATCATGAAGTAACTTCCCTGATATTATCAGTGATAAAAGTAGGATAAGAGCTAGAAAAAATAAACAGAGCCAAAATCTTGCTGCTTGGCTAATAATGAAAACTGCCTCATATTTCCAGAGCTCCAGGGTCCCTACCCATCTCCATTTTTATGCTATGATATGATAAACGCTCCCTTAAATACACATATAAATACTGTGAACATTTCATAAAACCGTTTTTTAGTAGACTTGTTCTTAGTCTTATTGGAAGGACTGATGCCCACCAGTTGCAGGAAGACCTGCTGAATGGAAGAGTAAGAGGGGAAGGGGTGTACAGGGTCCCCTTAC